CGCTACTAGCTGTCAATGCATGAATGCTACCAAGTGAGCATCCGTTTTAATCAGGCCGCCGTAGTCCACTTTGTTCCGCCTATGGTGTGATCAGCTGGTTCCTGATAAGTTGTAGTATCTACTTTGCATTTGTTTGTTGCCAGATCCCTCCTCCGTACCTTGGCTGCAGCAACGGGCATCGAGCGCAGTGAAGGAGCCAGATGGCATGTTTGCCAGGATTTGGATCTTGCAGCCCCTTTTCTGTATGCCAATGATAACCGGTGAACAAACTTGGGTGAAAACAAGCAAATCCAGGTTCGTCTGTGAGAAAAGTGTCAGGGCACAATTGTTTTGGCACCGTGCTCCACCCAATCCCGATGGTGGACTTCATGTTGGCTGCGCTCTGCAATCTTTGCATGCAACATGCCATGCTGAGATTTGTTGTTTTCTTCAGAATGGCTGATATAACTGACAGCATGTGCATGGATCTAGTCCGGCCACTTTGCTGCTGCCAGCTGTTGTGTTGACATGGAAGGCTAGATGGCATCATCAGCGGCTTTCCAAACACCTATGCTTCCAAGTCCTGCTTTAAATTTGGCATCTATTTTCCAAACTGCAAGAGCATTAATGTTTTGGCTGCATGGCAGGGTTGGGAAGACTTCAGATGCAGCCTACAAGGACATGCAAGATAAATTTGCTGCCTGACGGCTGGAATGAGATCACGAAAGGCTTGCTTTTCAAGCTTCATGTCAATGCACTGCTCGTCAATCTTGTCACTTGGCGGCAGCTGGTTGCAAATTTGATTCCCAAATGGCCTTTTCTGCTTTTGTGACAGCCCTCGCTGCACTACGCCCTTCAGCCGCGTAAGCCAGATTTGCTCATCATGCCTTGAAAAACTGGTGAAACCAGCGTTGCAGCAGGCTGAGTACATGCCAGTTGGTGGCCGGGTTCCTATGTGCTTTCCTTTGTGTCTCGGCAATGAAAATTTTGGGTTGCTTGAACAATTTCCTTCTTCCATTCCTTGCGCTTCATAAACTTTTTGACGTTGTGCAGCTCAGGTGCATTCTTCCGCTTGTGCTTTGCCCAGGCTCTTTGGCCCCAGCTGCAAAGCCTCGGTGTGTTGTCGTTCCTTGCAGGCTTTTGGCTTGAGGATGTGATTGGCGTCTGCAGCATGGTGAACAAGTGTAACAAACCTTTTTGTTTGACTAAGACACAAGTTAGCTATTGCGCTTCAGGTTTCGGTCCCTCCACTTTGCACAGTGGTGCGCCTCTAGACAATCTGTGCATCTGAATTGCTCAAAGGATTTTGTTTTTCCTGTGCAGCAGGCTTTCTTTTGGAATGTGTGGAGGTTGGAAAACAGACACAGCCTGCTTCAAGCATTGAATTTGGTTTTTGAAGGGCCCCACCGCAATACCACGTATGCATCTTGTTACTGGCCGTGGCCTTCAGTTCATGCACTTGCATGCATGCAGGATTTCAACGATGCGAACCCATTTCCCAGTTCGTTTGTTTTAAGATTGAAACAAAGCAACCTTGCGCAAAAAAATGTTTGCAGGAGAGTGCCCGCCAGCAGACTACTTGTCATTAGATGCCCCAGAGGACCAGAACCGTTGGCTGGAGTGATTAAAAAGGGTTGACTATTGCTGAAAGACGAAATTGCAGGATCCTGGCTTGTACGACCCAATTCAAACAAGCTCTCCGCCCATTGCTGAAGAAAGGAAAGAAATGGTGCTGGGAATGCCCGAAAAGGAGGTTCACAGCAGAGGGAAACAACATGAGACAGAAGAAGCACATGGTGCTGCTGAAGTCCTGCCCATCAGCTTTTACTAAGATTGGTTGTGCCTTGACAAGGAGAAAATCGGCACCCAAGATTTGCCATTCTTAAGTTCGTTGAATGCGCGCATGACTTTCCAACGCCTCTTGCTGTGATTCTGTGATGTGTGGTGGAAATCGCGCGTGTAGGGGTGCCAGCAACTCACTGATGCTCTGTTCCTTCATCAAACGTTGGCTTGAAACAACTGCTCGCTTTTCCCATTGGTTGGGACGAATTGTGCCAAGATATGCTTTGCAGAAATAGTTTTTCGCTGTGGCATGTGCTTAGGCTACGTCGTGCGTGCTCGTGTGAAGTCGTGCGGAAAACGTGTCCTCTTCCGTTTCTGGTGCTCATGAAATCAGTGATGCTTGCGCTCTCCGGTCCGTAATGCAACAGGCAAACCCTAAGGGGTAACAACTGCTGCTTGTTTCTCATTGATCAGGTTTTTGAATCTGGCAGACATGTGGTGCTTGTTGATGGGTTGGTGCTGGAGAAAATCTTTTGCCTTTTGTTTTTCTTTTGTTGTTTTTCTTGTATGAAGGGGACAGTGCCGCCTTCTCAGTTTCAACTTGATCAAAAATCTGAAAGCCCCGTCAGGAATTTTCCCTAGTAAACCATGCCATTTTGTAAAAGGCCTTTTTTTGTTGAGCGAATCATTTTGTAAGAGCCAATATTCTTTACAAAATGACGTCGGGGCCAGTCATGTCGTAACGCTATTTCGGGGGCATTTCAGGCAGTGCAAAGGAGAATATTGAAATCTTGACCATGCCCAGGAACCAGGTTTTCTTTTCCAAAACCTTCTGGGTTCCCGGGGAAAGTGGGATATGTGCAAGTTAGACATATTTCGAAATTAACTAGTCTATAAGACACAAGCTTAGAAGATGACTGGGCTTGGGGCCTGGAAAAACTAGACGACGGATGGCCCGAGAGCGTAGAGGAGCAGAGTCTTCTGTTGGTACTATGGAGACACTATAATACAAGACAATACGTTAAAGACTTTAGTAAAGATGTATGAAAAGGCAGACGAGAAGAATAGTATCAAGACAATATACTCTGAGTTGTTAAAGTTGAACGATTTCAATGAAATGAGCGTCCCAGCTGCGCGCACGCAACTTCTAAAGTTGACCAATGTTGCGTCCAGCTTGTGTCTAGCAAGTTAGTTTTTCAGTTTTTGACTTTTTCGTGGGTTTTGCATTGCCAGCGACTTTGTGTGACTTCGTATTTAGGTTGTGTCTATACCATGTTTTCATGATCGCATGAAAGGACAATGAAAGGAAATGAGAGGAAATGAAAGGAGAATGAAAGGAACATGAAAGCAAATGAATCCAAAGGTCTGGGTTTTGATACCCTTTGACGTCGTTCGAAAGTATCACAAACACAAGACCATAGTTTGCATCGTAAATTTCGTATAGTTTTTCACACACAGAACTTTTTACAAACAGACGCGTTTGCACACAGAGACTTTTACACACAGACGCTTTTACACACAGACGTTTTACACAAAGAGGCTTTTACACAGAAGCTTGCACACACACAGAGAGGCTTTTACACAGAAGCTTTTACACCGAGACCCTTTTACAGACAGATGCTTTTACACAAACACCTTCACACGCAGAGACTTTTACACACAGACCCTTTTACACACAAACACTTTTACACACAGCACTTTTACACAGAGACTGTTACACACAGACGCTTTTACACACATACACTTTTACACACAGACGTTTTACACGCAGAGGCTTTTACACACAGAAGCTTTTACGTGAAGACCCTTTTACACATAGGCGCTTGTACGCGCAGACGCTTTTACACACAGACGCTTTTACACACACACACACCTTCACACCCGGAGACTTTTACACAAAGACGCTTTTACATGCAGACACTTTTACACACAGACGCTTTTACAGGACGGAGGAGTCAGACGTTCATTGCATCGCCTGCCGCCCCTGTGCTGTGCTGCACCGTGGCTATGAACTACATTACATGGCTTGCAGTAGCCTTTGATGCCGGTTGCAATGACCGGTTGCTGTGATTGTGGTTTGATTATTTTATTTATCTGCTTTGTGCAATTTTTGGCCTTGTGGTGGCCTTATGCACCGGTTGCGGATGCCAGTTGCTTGTGTGGTGTTGGCCTTGGGGTGGCCTTATGCACCGGTTGCGGATGCCGGTTGCTTGCGTGATGTTGGCCTTGGGGTGGCCTGGAGCACCGGTTGCGGATGCCGGTTGCTTGTGTGTTGTTGGCCTTGAGGTGGCCTTATGCACCGGTTGCGGATACCGGTTGCTTGCGTGATGTTGGCCTTGGGGTGGCCTGGAGCACCGGTTGCGGATGCCGGTTGCTTGTGTGTTGTTGGCCTTGGGGTGGCCTTATGCACCGGTTGCGGATACCGGTTGCTTGCGTGATGTTGGCCTTGGGGTGGCCTGGAGCACCGGTTGCGGATACCGGTTGCTTGTGTGTTGTTGGCCTTGGGGTAACCTGGTGCACCGGCGGCGGATGCCGGTTGCTTGTGTGAATTTTCGCCTTGAGGTGGCTTGGTTCACCGGTTGCGGTTGCCGGTAGGTTTGTATTTTTGCAGTATCTTTCAGCCTTGTAAGTTGGCATTTCACAGCAGTTGTGATGGTTGCTGGTGTTACGGTTCGCTTTTGCCTTGCAGTGGCAGTGTTTTGCCCCGGTTGCGGTCCCGGGTGTTTGTATTCTCACATGCTGGCATTTGCACCTTCGAGTAGCAAGTAGCAGCTGGTCCCAATTCAGTGCGAGGCTTTCCAGTGCTCTTCAGCTCGTTTCATTGTGCTTTGCTGTTGCACATGAAAGCCATGTCCGCTTGGGAAAAATGTTTGGAAGCTACTTGAGCTCGGCTTTGATACCCAAGAAGCTTTTTCTTTCAAGGATGAGAAAGTGTTCGATGTTTTTGCCGAAGATTTTTTGTTGGTGGACTTGAAGTTGGACGGCGCAACTGAGACAAATTGGGCTTGTGAGCCTTTGGTGCAAAAGCTTCGCGGCCTGTGGATGAAGGGCTGTGGCGGCGGTGCTGCGCCACAAGCTTTGGCGTTGTCTACGACTCCAGTTGCTGTCGGGGTGTGTCCTGGGTCAGGTTTGTTGCTGGGTTCCAACAAAGGTTTGACGGTGGCTGACCGTGACCGTTGCGCCGCGCCCTGTAGGCAAAGTTTACAGGTTGTGTGGTGGACTTGGAATCGCTTCCTTCCATGCCCTTTCTCAACATTGTGAAAGCGCAGCATGACAACAAGGCTTGGGATTGGTTTCCATGGAAGAAGGTGTTGAGCGAAAAGGTGGCTTCTGTGCTTGAAGATAGGAAGCCTGCTCTCGGGCCCCTAGAAATCTTATGCGGGGCTAATGTGGAGGAGCAGTTGGACCGTGAGTTTTCCAATGCGCCTTTCCCTATTTTGCAGTTGCTGACAGTGCGCGGGCATGCATATGCTATGGTTGGGAGCGGGCACTTAGGTAGCTGGACGCTTTACAACAACAGGTTCATGAAGTTTTATATTCAGGAGCCAGGACCCCACTTGCGTTACTGCTCGGCCCAAGAAGCCGAAGAGGCAGACCAAGCCGCAATGAGAGAAGTCTTTAACTTGTGCTTTGCAGGTGCGAGCATTGATGATGCCTTGCATTCAATTGCTGTTGACAGGGATATGCTCAGGTCTCTCTTGATGCCTCGTCCAAAGGTGGATAAGCGTTTCAACAGAGAGCCATTGGCGCGGAAGCGCCCAGCAGCACCTGCCACAGGTCCATCAAAGCGCTTGCGCAATGGAGAGTGTTTCAAGTGGCGCCTTGGTGAGTGCAAGTTGAAGAACTGCCGGTTCGCGCATGCTTGTGCAGTGTGCGGAGCCACAGATCACCATGCCGAAAATTGCAAAGAGGCAAGCGCAGACCATCGGAAGAACCCGAAGACAAAGGCGCGGGGCGGCAAATTTGAATGACTATCTGTATCGCCAGTAGAACCTTCTGAGCAGGATGCGCTGCAAATGGTCCAAGTACCAAGCGGTTCGCCACAGGGCCTGGATGCTAGCGGATTGTTGCGGCTGAAAGATGGTGGTGGTATACATTCAACTGCTGACTGGTATCTTCCCAAGGGCGTAGATTTGCTTGCAGAACTGCGGAGCCAATTTTTGGATTTGGTGTGCGAGTGGCAGCTACTACCACGCTTGCGCTCTCATGTGGCGCAAGCTAGCCGGGAGCCTTTGCTGAATGAAGATGAAGTGCAGTGTGTGAAGTATCGCTTAGCAGACTTTCTGACGAGCAAACGCTTCCCGTGCAAGGTTGAGGTGCCGCCGGGTCAGCCACTAATTTTGGATCTGTGGCGTGCGCTTTTATTGTTCTACGACGACATTGATATGAAATTGCCTTGCATTTTACGTGAGGGCGTGCCCAGAGGCATTTTGGCAGATGTTCTACCTTCAGGGGTGTGGCGCGCAGTGGACAAACCTGAGCGCCCTGAAGGCGTCGAGCTCGAGATCTTAGAGGAGCCATGGGGCTCGGCGTTGGAAGATCCAGACTGCTTAATGCGACTAGTGCAAGCAGATGTTGAAGCCGGGTTTGCTGACTGGATTCCTGGCGGTGTGGAAGAGGCCCGGCGCATCTTTGGGGCAAATTGTGCGGCTGGCAAGCTGGGCTTAGTCAAGAAAGCAGGCTCGGAGCCCAGGTTGGTAGGGGACAGCAGCATCAGTTGCGCCAATCAGCTGTCTCGCATCCGGGAGAAAATTGAGCTCCCAAGTTTGTTTGATATTGAGCAGTTTGTTTGTTTGGTGGGTGGGTGGGTGGTAACCCCCCAACCGTAGGATTGGGATGGTCAATCCCTTGCTGTGGGAAGGTTAAAGGTGCCTTGGCTTTGTATATGTTCTGTCAGGGATTTGTAGCTTTGGTATGCTAAAGTGCAGCTGCAGCATATAGGGCAGGGGCCCAGTTTGTGAAAGTTGTATTGCATTTTGTGTTGTTTTCTTTCTTGTTTGCTGTTGCGGCCGGTTGTGTTCGATGTTGCGCAAGCCGGTGGCGCGGTCGAGGTTCCAGGCCGATGATGTATCCTCGGCAGAGCCGCGCCCCAAATACCGGAGGCTGGTGTTCATTCCTCGCTTTTCTTTTTGTGAAGAAGAAGAAGTGATACCTAGTGGCCAATTGGCTTGCAAAGCTCAATCACGTGGGCGTGCCCCTGCAGGAGTTTCTCTGCTGAACAGGTTGATTCTGCCCGTGCCCTGGAAAATTCTGATAGGCGCAAGTGGGCGCGGGAATGGGCCCGCTGCGCCCTTCAAGTGGCTGAGAAGAGCAGTTGGTTACAGTTGGTTGAAGGAGGCCGCGAGGTGTCCTCAGAAAACATCATCCGCACTTTCTTGGATCGAGCACCTGCGACGCTGAAGAAACATTTGCAGGGTTGGCATCGTTGGACTTCCTTTTGCTTGTTGTGTCTGGTTTTGAGGTAGCAGCACCCTCGCTGGCACATTTATTTGCGTTTCTTGACAGCCTGGCGGTTGGTACCTTTTTGGACCGTGGCCGTGGACGCCGGGCCTCCGCTGTAGCAACGCTGGCTGCGCTACAGTTTGGTGCCTGGAAGCTGGGACTCTCGGTGCTGGAAAACTTGCTGGCTTCTTCTCCAGTGAAAGCTTGGAAAAGGGGAACGGACTGGCACAAATCACTTTGCAGGGAAGCTGTTCCATTGCCTGTTGCTGTAGTCAAGAAGTTAGAGGAAGCTGCCAGTCAAGGTGCGGAAGATAGCCTTTTTCTTTGCAGTATGCTGCTAATGTGCTGGTGTGGCTTGCGGTGGTCCGGCACTTGTTGGCGCACTAAAGCTTGTAAGCGTGGTATGGTCTGGGGCTGCATGTCAGATGGCTTTCTACAGAGTGCTTGGGGTGAACATTTGTTTCTTCATATTCAAGATATCCTGCGTAGGTACCCATCACGAGATTTTTTGTTAGAATTCAACGGGCGTCCAATGTCCTACAGCACTGGTCTTGCACAATTCAGGCGTTGTCTGCATATCCATGGCGGTGTTGCGTTGGAATCTTGCTTGACCTTCAGCTTGCATTCCTTGAAGACAACCATGTTAACATATGCCAGTCAACGTGGCGTGGACCGCAACTTGCGTGCTGCGCAAGGGCACCACCAGCTGAAGGAAGCTAATGCCTGTGTGGAGCTGTATGGAAGAGATGATGTGCAACCTACGCTAGAATGTCAAAAACAAATCCTTTCAGCAGTGCAGAGCGGCTGGGTCCCCGCGATTCCTTTACAGCGTGGGTTGGTCTTGCTGGATACCTCTGACAATAGGGGTGTAAACAAGGTTGAGGAACCGTGTCAAGATGATAAAACAGATGTCAAGCGACGGGGAGCTTGATGCTAATGAAACAAGTTCCAGCGCGTCCTCAGCACCTTCCAGTGATGTGGAATCTGTATGCTCCGAAGTGCGGGCAAGAGGTGATGTAGCCGATGAGGTGCTTCCTTTTCAAGGGCCTTGGGTATTAAACTGCGCGAGCGGTGTGGTCCACAGGGCTTGCTGGACGGAGGAGTCAGACGTTCATTGCATCGCCTGCCGCCCCTGTGCTGTGCTGCACCGTGGCTATGAACTACATTACATGGCTTGCAGTAGCCTTTGATGCCGGTTGCAATGACCGGTTGCTGTGATTGCGGTTTGATTATTTTATTTATCTGCTTTGTGCAATTTTTGGCCTTGTGGTGGCCTTATGCACCGGTTGCGGATGCCAGTTGCTTGTGTGGTGTTGGCCTTGGGGTGGCCTTATGCACCGGTTGCAGATGCCGGTTGCTTGCGTGATGTTGGCCTTGGGGTGGCCTGGTGCACCGGTTGCGGATGCCGGTTGCTTGTGTGTTGTTGGCCTTGGGGTGGCCTAGTGCACTGGCGGCGGATGCCGGTTGCTTGTGTGAATTTTCGCCTTGAGGTGGCTTGGTTCACCGGTTGCGGTTGCCGGTAGGTTTGTATTTTTGCAGTATCTTGCAACTTTGTAAGTTGGCATTTCGCAGCAGTTGTGCTGGTTGCTAGTGTTAAGGTTCGCTTTTGCCTTGCAGTGGCAGTGTTTTGCCCCGGTTGCGGTCCCGGGTGTTTGTATTCTCGCATGCTGGCATTTGCACCTTCGAGTAGCAAGTAGCAGCTGGTCCCAATTCAGTACGAGGTTTTCCAGTGCTCTTCAGCTCGTTTCATTGTGCTTTGCTGTTGCAAACGAAAGCCATGTCCGCTTGGGAAAAATGTTTGGAAGCAGCGAAGATTCCAGAGCCCGCGCGAGCCAAGCTACTTGAGCTCGGCTTTGATACCCAAGAAGCTTTTTCTTTCAAGGATGAGAAAGTGTTCGATGTTTTTGCCGAAGATTTTTTTGTTGGTGGACTTGAAGTTGGACGGCGCAACTGAGACAAATTGGGCTTGTGAGCCTTTGGTGCAAAAGCTTCGCGCCCTGTGGATGAAGGGCTGTGGCGGCGGTGCTGCGCCACAAGCTTTGGCGTTGTCTTCCACTCCAGTTGCTGTGGGGGTGTGTCCTGGGTCAGGTTTGTTGCTGGGTTCCAACAAAGGTTTGACAGTGGATGACCGTGACCAGTTGCGCCGCGCCCGTGGTGGACTTGGAATCGCTTCCTTCCATGCCCTTTCTCAACATTGTGAAAGCGCGGCATGACAACAAGGCTTGGGATTGGTTGCCATGGACCATGGAAGAAGGTGTTGAGCGAAAAGGTGGCTTCTGCGCTTGAAGATAGGAAGCCTGCTCTCGGGCCCCTAGAAATCTTATGCGGGGCTAATGTGGAGGAGCAGTTGGACCGTGAGTTTTCCAATGCGCCTTTCCCTATTTTGCAGTTGCTGACAGTGCGCGGGCATGCATATGCTATGGTTGGGAGCGGGCACTTAGGTAGCTGGACGCTTTACAACAACAGGTTCATGAAGTTTTATATTCAGGAGCCAGGACCCCACTTGCGTTACTGCTCGGCCCAAGAAGCCGAAGAGGCAGACCAAGCCGCAATGAGAGAAGTCTTTAACTTGTGCTTTGCAGGTGCGAGCATTGATGATGCCTTGCATTCAATTGCTGTTGACAGGGATATGCTCAGGTCTCTCTTGATGCCTCGTCCAAAGGTGGATAAGCGTTTCAACAGAGAGCCATTGGCGCGGAAGCGCCCAGCAGCACCTGCCACAGGTCCATCAAAGCGCTTGCGCAATGGAGAGTGTTTCAAGTGGCGCCTTGGTGACTGCAAGTTGAAGAACTGCCGGTTCGCGCATGCTTGTGCAGTGTGCGGAGCCACAGATCACCATGCCGAAAATTGCACGGAGGCAAGCGCAGACCATCGGAAGAACCCAAAGACAAAGCCGCGGGGCGGCAAATTTGAATGACTATCTGTATCGCCAGTAGAACCTTCTGAGCAGGATGCGCTGCAAATGGTCCAAGTACCAAGCGGTTCGCCACAGGGCCTGGGTGCTATAGCGGATTGTTGCGGCTGAAAGATGGTGGTGGTATACATTCAACTGCTGACTGGTATCTTCCCAAGGGCGTAGATTTGCTTGCAGAACTGCGGAGCCAATTTTTGGATTTGGTGTGCGAGTGGCAGCTACTACCACGCTTGCGCTCTCATGTGGCGCAAGCTAGCCGGGAGCCTTTGCTGAATGAAGATGAAGTGCAGTGTGTGAAGTATCGCTTAGCAGACTTTCTGACGAGCAAACGCTTCCCGTGCAAGGTTGAGGTGCCGCCGGGTCAGCCACTAACTTTGGATCTGTGGCGTGCGCTTTTATTGTTCTACGACGACATTGATATGAAATTGCCTTGCATTTTACGTGAGGGCGTGCCCAGAGGCATTTTGGCAGATGTTCTACCTTCAGGGGTGTGGCGCGCAGTGGACAAACCTGAGCGCCCTGAAGGCGTCGAGCTCGAGATCTTAGAGGAGCCATGGGGCTCGGCGTTGGAAGATCCAGACTGCTTAATGCGACTAGTGCAAGCAGATGTTGAAGCCGGGTTTGCTGACTGGATTCCTGGCGGTGTGGAAGAGGCCCGGCGCATCTTTGGGGCAAATTGTGCGGCTGGCAAGCTGGGCTTAGTCAAGAAAGCAGGCTCGGAGCCCAGGTTGGTGGGGGACAGCAGCATCAGTTGCGCCAATCAGCTGTCTCGCATCCGGGAGAAAATTGAGCTCCCAAGTTTGTTTGATATTGAGCAGTTTGTTTGTTTGGTGGGTGGGTGGGTGGTAACCCCCCAACCGTAGGATTGGGATGGTCAATCCCTTGCTGTGGGAAGGTTAAAGGTGCCTTGGCTTTGTATATGTTCTGTCAGGGATTTGTAGCTTTGGTATGCTAAAGTGCAGCTGCAGCATATAGGGCAGGGGCCCAGCTTGTGAAAGTTGTATTGCATTTTGTGTTGTTTTCTTTCTTGTTTGCTGTTGCGGCCGGTTGTGTTCGATGTTGCGCAAGCCGGTGGCGCGGTCGAGGTTCCAGGCCGATGATGTATCCTCGGCAGAGCCGCGCCCCAAATACCGGAGGCTGGTGTTCATTCCTCGCTTTTCTTTTTGTGAAGAAGAAGAAGTGATACCTAGTGGCCAATTGGCTTGCAAAGCTCAATCACGTGGGCGTGCCCCTGCAGGAGTTTCTCTGCTGAACAGGTTGATTCTGCCCGTGCCCTGGAAAATTCTGATAGGCGCAAGTGGGCGCGGGAATGGGCCCGCTGCGCCCTTCAAGTGGCTGAGAAGAGCAGTTGGTTACAGTTGGTTGAAGGAGGCCGCGAGGTGTCCTCAGAAAACATCATCCGCACTTTCTTGGATCGAGCACCTGCGACGCTGAAGAAACATTTGCAGGGTTGGCATCGTTGGACTTCCTTTTGCTTGTTGTGTCTGGTTTTGAGGTAGCAGCACCCTCGCTGGCACATTTATTTGCGTTTCTTGACAGCCTGGCGGTTGGTACCTTTTTGGACCGTGGCCGTGGACGCCGGGCCTCCGCTGTAGCAACGCTGGCTGCGCTACAGTTTGGTGCCTGGAAGCTGGGACTCTCGGTGCTGGAAAACTTGCTGGCTTCTTCTCCAGTGAAAGCTTGGAAAAGGGGAACGGACTGGCACAAATCACTTTGCAGGGAAGCTGTTCCATTGCCTGTTGCTGTAGTCAAGAAGTTAGAGGAAGCTGCCAGTCAAGGTGCGGAAGATAGCCTTTTTCTTTGCAGTATGCTGCTAATGTGCTGGTGTGGCTTGCGGTGGTCCGGCACTTGTTGGCGCACTAAAGCTTGTAAGCGTGGTATGGTCTGGGGCTGCATGTCAGATGGCTTTCTACAGAGTGCTTGGGGTGAACATTTGTTTCTTCATATTCAAGATATCCTGCGTAGGTACCCATCACGAGATTTTTTGTTAGAATTCAACGGGCGTCCAATGTCCTGCAGCACTGGTCTTGCACAATTCAGGCGTTGTCTGCATATCCATGGCGGTGTTGCGTTGGAATCTTGCTTGACCTTCAGCTTGCATTCCTTGAAGACAACCATGTTAACATATGCCAGTCAACGTGGCGTGGACGGCAACTTGCGTGCTGCGCAAGGGCACCACCAGCTGAAGGAAGCTAATGCCTGTGTGGAGCTGTATGGAAGAGATGATGTGCAACCTACGCTAGAATGTCAAAAACAAATCCTTTCAGCAGTGCAGAGCGGCTGGGTCCCCGCGATTCCTTTACAGCGTGGGTTGGTCTTGCTGGATACCTCTGACAATAGGGGTGTAAACAAGGTTGAGGAACCGTGTCAAGATGATAAAACAGATGTCAAGCGACGGGGAGCTTGATGCTAATGAAACAAGTTCCAGCGCGTCCTCAGCACCTTCCAGTGATGTGGAATCTGTATGCTCCGAAGTGCGGGCAAGAGGTGATGTAGCCGATGAGGTGCTTCCTTTTCAAGGGCCTTGGGTATTAAACTGCGCGAGCGGTGTGGTCCACAGGGCTTGCTGGACGGAGGAGTCAGACGTTCATTGCATCGCCTGCCGCCCCTGTGCTGTGCTGCACCGTGGCTATGAACTACATTACATGGCTTGCAGTAGCCTTTGATGCCGGTTGCAATGACCGGTTGCTGTGATTGCGGTTTGATTATTTTATTTATCTGCTTTGTGCAATTTTTGGCCTTGTGGTGGCCTTATGCGCCGGTTGCGGATGCCAGTTGCTTGTGTGGTGTTGGCCTTGGGGTGGCCTTATGCACCGGTTGCAGATGCCGGTTGCTTGCGTGATGTTGGCCTTGGGGTGGCCTGGTGCACCGGTTGCGGATGCCGGTTGCTTGTGTGTTGTTGGCCTTGGGGTGGCCTAGTGCACTGGCGGCGGATGCCGGTTGCTTGTGTGAATTTTCGCCTTGAGGTGGCTTGGTTCACCGGTTGCGGTTGCCGGTAGGTTTGTATTTTTGCAGTA